GGCGGCTTTGGTGGGGGGGGGGTGGGGGGAGCGGGTTGGGAACCCCCAGTGACCCCCCCCCCGTTTTCCGCCAGCAGCGGTAGAACACGCTCTTTCAAAAAAGAAGAGGCGCCATGAAATCTGGGGAGATATCATGGCCCCCGCCATGACATCCACCCCCCTAGCCATCACCCCCCTCTTCGCCGACCCCGATTCTTGCAGCACGTCATCACCCACGCGGCACGTCCAGAAAGCGCCCGCCCAGGAGCTTACCCTGACGATTTCTGAGGGGGAGGGTGGGGTTCACTTCATTCGGGATCTCCCGAACGAAGTGAACCCCAGCCTCCCCCTCAGAAATCGTGGGGGGTAGGGGTAGGGTTCGCATGTGGCCCCCATGTATAATCTCGGAGCGCGCGCGCGCGCGCGCTCGCCCCTGCGGGGCCGACGGGCACACGGCCTGTCGTCCCCTGCGGCCGCCCTGGGGCTCGCTCGGCTCGTTGGCGGCCCTGAGGGGGACAGCCCACGAGGTCGGAATCAGTGAAAGCATCGGTTTTTGTGCGAGCTCAGGCGTGCTCGTCGTTCAGGTCTCGGAAGCGGCCGAGACGGCCGAGAGGCCCCCGAGATCGCCGCCAGACGAACCTGAAGCCCGCAGGAGACCCCCGAGGAGGCCCCAAGAGGGGCCATTGCACCCAAGGGTGGCCTCCGAGGCAGCCTGCAAGCCCCCAAGAGGTCCCCAGGAGGCCTCAGAGAGGCCTCTTCCTCCTCCTCCTCCTCCTCCTCCTCCTCCTCCTCCTCCTCTTCCTCCTCCTCTTCCTCCTCCTCCTCCTCCTCCTCCTCCTCCTCCTCCTCCCTCCCCTCCTCCTCCCCCTCCTCCTCCTCCTCCTCCTCCTCCTCCTCCTCCTCCTCCTCCTCCTCCTCCTCCTCCTCCTCCTCAAGAGGCCCACAGAAGTCTTCCAAACAATCCCAAGAGGCCACTACGAGGCGTCTGGTCCACGACCCAGCTGAAGTGGCGGGATGGGCCAAGGAACACTCGATAATTATTCAGTCGGTCCTGTTTGGTCAGCACGGCGTGGCGAGCAATCCGCCAGGCCGGAGATGCCGGGTCGCGGCACGCCTTCTGAATTGCGCTCGCCGAGTGCCCAGCGGAGGCGGGAGGGGGCTACCAGTGAAGGGGGGAGGCTACACGACAATCACAAACAGCTGCAGACGGTGGTGCCGACGACAACACAACAAGCACGTCAAGAACATGTTAATACCATCAACTCGCAATCAGCAAATCAGCACGCTAAACCTTGGCTTGCGCAGACATAAAAAACGTGTGTGTGTGTGTGGTGTGGTGTGATAGTAGTATGGTGTGGTGTGCTGTGGTGTGGTGCGGTGCGGTGCGGTGTGGTGTGGTGTGGTGTGGTGTCGTGTCGTGTCGTGTCGTGTGTTGTGTTGCGTTGTGTTGTGTTGTGTTGTGTTGTGCTGTGCTGTGTTATGTTGCGTTGTGCTGTGCTGTGCTGCGTTGTGTTGTGTTGTGGTGTGTTTGTGTTCGTTGTGTATGTTTAGATGTGTGTGTGCGTTGGTATGCGTCTGTGTCTGTGTCCGAATCTGTGTCTGTGTCTGTGTGCGCGTCTGTGCCTGTGCCTGTGTCTGTGTCTGTGCCTGTGTGTCTGTGTCTGCGCCTGTGTGTCTCTGTCTGTGTCTGTGTCCGTGTGTCTGTGTCTGTGACTATGTCTGCGTGTCTGTGTCTGTATCTGTGTGTGCGTGCGTGTGCGTGTGTGTGTGTGTGTGGGTGTTTATGTGAGTGCGTGTGTGTGCGCGTGTGCGTGCGTGTGTCATTGGCATGGGGGAGGAGGGAGAGGAGCAAACGCGAGAACGCCGAAAACACTACTGCTACATGTTGGGGCTGCTCTAACGTCTGGACCTCTCGGGGGGCCTCTCCTGAGCTACCCGAGGGCCATCGTGGAGCTACGTCGGAGCCAACTGGGGCCGAAACGATCCCTAAAAGGCCGAGATCGGGGGGGGGAAAGGGGAGGGGGGGGGGGGGAGAAACAACGGAGGAAGTCGCTAAAATGGTCCGGCCGCCACGCCACGGAGGGCTCCCCCGCGACCTGCCATACTGAAGGGGCCCTGGGACACACAAATAAATACACACAAATAAAAAGATTCCCCATATTTTCCTATATTTTCTGGGTTTTTGTCTTCCCCCCCACTTCCCATATCTTCCCATCTTTTCTGGGTAATCGCCAATTCATTGTGTCTGTGTGTTTCTTTCCCTCCTGACACACGCCCGCCCCTCCAGCCTCCCGCCGCGGCGGGCCTTGAGGATCTCGTGTATGTAGAACCGGATGTCGAAGTCCGTCAGCGTGGGGTAGAGCGTCTTGAAGTCCTCCGGCGGCGCCCGCGGCGACGAGGCAGCCCCGACGCCAGGGGGGAGGAGGAGGAGGAGGAGGAGGAGGAGGAGGAGGAGGAGGAGCAGGAGGAGAAGAGGACCAGTGCAAACCCAAGTCTCATCGACGAGATCGCAATGAGCCCTCCCTCCAAACTCCCTCTGCATAGACCCCTAGAAGAAGTCATGTTCACCGAGGGAAGTGTCCCGTTGGAAGCCAACCACCTGAAAGTCCAGAACTGCGCCAGAACACCATTCCTGGGCCTTCAACGCCGCGAATCACCGCTACTGTTGCATACTGACGATGCTGAATCGTGCCAGAGAGCCATTCCTGGGACTTCAACACCGCGAATTAACGTAACTGTTGCGCCCCGCCGTTCCGACACCGTGCCAAACACACAAATTCTGGGAAGTTCACCATGAAAATACTTGAAACTGCTGCAACCTCTTAAGACGAATGTGGGTGGCGCTAAGACGAGAGCCACATGTTGAAAAAGAACCCCCCTCCATTCGCGAAACTCTTGTAAACTTGTAAACCGAATGTGCGCGGCGCTCACGCGAGAACAGAATTTTGAAAACAACCCGTGAACCGTTTCCAATTGAAAGCTCCAACATCATAGATGGTGAGGAATTCTCAGGCGAAACGCCCGGCTCGCCCGTTCCACCAGCCTCGGGGTGCGGCAGGGAGGATTTATTCATAGGGAAGAGGGATGGAGGGAGTTCTGGAGAGAGTGAAGGGTGAAGCACAGGAAGAGGCGGAGCGGAGGACTGGGCAGAGGGGAAGGATGAGGAGCCGCAGGAGAACGCGGTGGTGGAGGGTGGGAAGAGAGAAGAAGAAGAAGAAGAAGAAGAAGATGATGGCACGTGAGCCGAGGAGCGAACGGGAAGGCGGGAGAGCGGCATGGGGGCAAGCGTCACCCGCGCAGTACGCAGAATTAGTGCTGCCGCAGGGACCGTCTGCAAGGTCCCCCCCCCTGTCACCCCGCTGACTGTCTCGCGAAGGGCCCCAGGAGCGGCCGGAGGCTCCCAGAGGGGAGGGGCGATCGAGAGACTCGAGGTGGTCTGAGGACCAAGCCCTTGCAAACGGGGCGTTAATAAACGGGGCGGTAGCTAAGGGGCCTCTTCAAGCGAGCACCGAGGGGACAGGGCATCTACCTCGCCCTAGTGCGTGATAAATCGGGATCACAAAAAAAGTCGGTGCATCATCATAGCTCTGGGCGGGGGTGGGGGTACCTCGCACTTGTGCGCGGCGAACCAGTTTTCTGAACACGCCATGGAGAACGCACCCTCAGCTATCGGCCCGTTTGCCCACGCCCCGTGTGCAGAGGCTTGGGGAGGAGTTCCTCCCAGCCGCCTCCCTGGGGAGCCCTGGGGCCTCGAGGACCTCCCGGGCACGTGCTCGGGACCCCCAGGGCCGTGCTGGGCAGGGGGGGCTCCCAGGGCCCTGTGGACGGCCCCCTCTCGGGCCAGTCTCGGGGGGGGGCACCCCGGGCTGCAGCGGCGGAGTGCCCAGGGCCGCGGCGGGGGTTCTCTCGGGCCGTCTCGGGGCCATCCTGGGTGCGCCTCGGCCCCTCCGCGGCGCCCTGATGGGCCTCAGGAGCCAGGAGCTCTCCACGCAGCCTCCCGGGATCTGCCTGGAGCGACACGGAGCGGAAGGACGAGAAGTCCCACCAGCCCTTTGGGCGACAGGTGGTCTACCGTCAGGAGTGTCTCTTTCATCTTCCACAACCCGTCTTCCCTTCGGGGAGGAGAGCCCTCCCCTTCCCCTCCCTGAGGTTTTTTTGGGGAGGGGTCGCGAGGTGTCAGAGGGTGATTTTTCGGCCCCTGGAGGGCCAATTTCTTACCCCCCTCACGAGGATCGTGGCCTCCGAGGGGGGGCGGGGGGGGGGGGGGGGGGGGGGCGAAATCGAGTACCCCCCCTCTTTTGACCGACCGCCTCCAAGATGGCCCCAAGAGGCGCTCCAGGGCTCCCCAGAAGCCCCCAAGGGGGCTCCAAGAACGCCCCAAGAGGCCTCCAAGAGGCACGCGAGCGGCACCCAAGAAACCCCAGAGCGGCCCCCGAGAGCCCAAGATGACCGCCAAGATGGTTCAGATAGCCCTAGCTGGCTCAAGATGGCTCCCAAGATGCTCCAAGCGGCCCCAAGACCGCTCTGAGACGGCTCGGGATGGCCACGGAGCCTCCCAAGCCTTCCTCGCTGTTTGACTATGCGTGTCTCTTCCTCTCTCCCCCCGTCAACTCTCATGGGCATCGTTTCTGGATGGGCTGGCGGGGATACTTCTTGTAGCCAGCCGCAGGCGAGCGCGCCGACGGCGTGTCAAGGTCCGAGCGGGCCGCGCGAGGTCCTAAATTACCTAGCACGAACAGGCCTACCGCCGCAACTCAGGCCGAGACCAGGAAGGGGCCGAGGGGGGGGAAGGGGCCGAGACCAGGAAGCGTCAAGAACAGCAAAAATGCATCAGAATCAACAGGCGTGTTGTGATGTGGGCCTCGCTGGGACTCCTTTGCCGGCGGCCTCGGTGACACGTTGGCGCCGTCTTGGGCCGTCTGGGGCTCACGGGAAGCTTCTCGCGAACTCTCGGAGCCTCCTGCACGCCTCGGGTGAGCGGCTCGCTGGGCTTCTGGAGGGCCACCAGCGAGCTCCAGGCTCCCACAGAAGGAGGTTTGGGCCGCGCGCTGGTTCCACTGCCTGCCTCTCTCGCACGCGCTCCGACCAGAATGGTAGCACAGGTGACGTTGCGCTCGAAGTTCGCCTCCCACGTCTCGCTCAGCAGCGCCAAAGCACGCTGCCACTGCCTGCCTTTACTACATGCGCCGGCAATCAAAGTGCACTCTTTCTCGAACGCAGTTGAGACGCTTCGCGGAAGAGCAGCAGCGCTGCGCTCTATTGATTTGCCCTTCCACAGTTCTTGATGGCCGCTTCAAGGGAATGGGCACCTTGCTGCGAGCCTTACAGGGCATCTGACACCGAAGGAGATCCACAGCGGCTTGGAGCCAGGGCGATTTGCCGATGCCGACCCCGCGCGCCTGACGAGCTGCGCACCCCAGACTCGCCATCGCTCGGCGGTGGCAACTCATGGGAGCCTCCAATACCATCTTGTCGGCTCTTGCGAATCGGCGCTAATCGACGCTAGTCGACGCTACGCGACGCTAAATCGACAATGATCTACGCTAACCGACGGTAAACCAGCACTACCTCATCGACTCCCAGTCGCTGACCGACGCTCATCGACGCTAAAGACGGCATTGAGAGGGTAAATCTTGCTCCCATGATTTGCTACCGAACGCCATCGGCTCTCAGGGCATGGCCGTCACCAGGAGCTGGCGCTGAGGAGGCCGCGCCTTGCGTCCGTCGAGGCGACCCCCCCTGCACTGAAAGGGGCGCGCGGGACAGCCACGGGACAGCCGAAGCAAAGCGGGCCCTTGGGCGGCATCGCCGCGGAACGCTGCGACATCGTTTTGCGCGCGGCCCTGGGCGCAGCCGACCATCGGCCGCGGGCTGCGCTTTCGCGCTCCACGGCCTGCCCCCGCTCCTGCTCCCAGGGAGGCCCTGGCCCAGGGCCCACCAGGCGGCGACTGGCACCCCTCGGTGGCGACATCCGAGCCCCACCCTTAGGTCGGACATGTCCTCGTACAGGTGGGTTTTGGAAAAAATGAAACTAACAAAAAAATATCCAAAAATGGTCAAATCATTGATCGGCGAGGGTCGGGTTCGGCTTTCGCCGAGGAAACTCCTCCAGCCCGCTCGGTGGAGCACCCCCTCCCCGTGAGACACGAGGACACTGCCAGCAACCCCAGGGCGACCATCTGCCAGCCCTCTTTCAGGGTCGGCGATACCCCACGACGCCTCGGAGAAGTCGCTGGACCCACGCCAGGACAGGAGTATCCACCCCTCCTCCCTTTTCCCTCCTCCCTCCTTTTCCTCCCTCTCGTCGTCGTCGCCGTCGCCGTCGCCGTCGCCGTCGCCGCTCCCAGGAACAAGCCCCTGTGGGCCTCCGCACGGACATCCCTCCTCAAGCCACGTCACCTAGCATTAAGTCGGGCCTGTCCCCCTACAGGGGGATTTCCGACGAAAAGTTTAAAATACCATAAAAAATTATGAACAAATAGTCCAAAAATTGTCTGGGGACTATTTTAGCGTATTTTTTACCTGTTTGGGGCATGCTTGGGGTATTTTTTTGCTCGTCGAAAATCCCCCTGCAGGGGGACACGCCCGACATAAACCTAGCTTCGCGCATCGCGGCCCGCGAGGCGCGGCGCGCGGTCATCCTCGCGCCTCCGCGCCGCCGCCCTGGAGAGGAGGACGCCACTCCAACCCAAAGCAGCCTTGCACGCAGCGCGATGATCTCCGCACGCCTCAGGGGCGACGCCGTGAGCAGGCCAGCGGGAGAAAAAGGCAAGAGCGAGGAGGAGGAGCCCCCGTCCAGCAGGAGGGGGGCGCCAGCGGGTCAGCAGCTCACGGGGGGGGGGTGCGACATGGACCTCCGACGACCTGCTGCGTTCAGCGCTCCGGGCCCTGGAGCTCCCAGCACCACCCCACCGCTGGACCGCCCGTTCGCCCTGCGCCGCTCTCCGATGGTCCCCGGGCCCGAGACTGCCCCCAGATGCTGAAATGCGGCAGAGAGAGGCGCCGCATTGTTCTCGCGCCAGTGAAGTCAAGGCTTCAGCGGGGGGGGGGGGAAACAAAAACAAAAAAAAGGATAACAAAAAAAAAAAAAAACGAGGATGGACCACACACGCACACGATCGTCTTGCCTCGCGGCGCGGCAGAGGCAGTCCGCACGCGCGCCCAGCCAGCCGGGAGGCGGCCCTGCGAAGCGCCCGGGCGCGAGAGGGAGGGGACGGGGGAAGACGAGCGGCCGCGGGGCGAAGGGAAGGGGGCGAGGGCGCCCGCGCAGCGGGGACCGCGGCGGGGCGCCCCGGGGCGGCCAAGCCGGTGCAGCACCCCTAGCAGCGGGCACGGGGCAGCGGCCGCACTGCGGGTCGCCCAGGACCAGCAAGCGAGGAGGAAGAGCGAAGGGCCCGAGGCGGCGGGCCAGCGGAGGTTCCGAGAGGCAAGAGACTGGGAGGGCCAGCGGAGGTCCCCAACAAACACAGACACACACACACACACACACAGACACAGACACAGACACAGAGACAGACACACATACACACACACACACACACACACACACACACACACACACACACACACACACACACACACACACACGCGCAGACACAGACACACACACACACACAGAGAGACAGACACAGACACAGACACAGACACAGACACAGACACAGACACACACACACACACAAGCACGCAGACACACACACACACACACAAGCACACAAACACACAAAGACACACACACACACACACACACAGACACACACACACAGACACACACACACACAACAAAAAAAAACACACACACAAAAACACACACACACAAACAAGCAAGCAAGCAAGCAAGCAAGCAAACAAACAAACACACACACAAGCACACACACACACACCGACAACAGAAAACATACAAAAAAACGCTTTCGGTCAGTAACACACATCCACAGACCCTGCTCCACCCCCTCCACTTTTCTCTCTCGCTCTCCCTCCCCCTGAAGAAGAAAGGGCTCAACGAGCCAAAAGCGGACGGCCGTGTTGTTGATGTACTCGAAGATCAGGCTTGGGGTTTTCGAGCTCGGGTCGCGCACCACGTCAAGGAGCTTGACTATGTTGGGGCACTGGCAGAGGTTCTGCAGGATCCTTAGACGGAGAAGAAAGGCGAAAAAGAGGAGGAGAGAGGAGAGGGAGGAGAGAGCAGAGGTAGGAAAGGGAAGAATAGGAAAAAGGAAGAATTGGCCAGAGCTATATTTCTGGACTATGCCTAACGGGCAACGTAGATACACAGACGAAAAGACAGCGCCGCCTCACTGTGCTGCTAGCTGTTGGAAGACTCCCACTTCCCGGCGAGCCCTCATTCCTCCTCCTCCCCCTCCTCTCCCTCCTCCTACACCTTCTCGTTCCTCCTCCTCCTCCTCCTCCTCCTCCTCCTCCTCCTCCTCCTCCTCCTCCTCCTCCTCCTCCTCCTCCTCCTCCTCCTCCTCCTCCTCCTCCTCACCCCTCCCCTCCGCGCGCGCCAAGAGTGGGAGAGGGGGCATACGGGCAGGGAAAAGAGACGAGAGCGAGAGCGGGGGACACGCTGGCAGGGGCAGGAAATATCAGAAATTAGAACAGCTGCGAGTCAACATTGCTTGCAGGGGCAGGGAAGGGGTAGCCGGGGGGGACGCGGAGCGGGGGAAGGGGAGGGGTGGAGCATGGGGGAGGTGAGATGGGAGGCCCACAGTCAGCATCCATGGCGGGGATACGCCGCAGGCGTGCAAGACCCCTGGACGCCCAAGCTGAGGCCTTCTGAGCAGCGCCCGGTCGAACAGAACCTGGGACTGCAGGGTCGCCCTGGTCGCAGGGGCCGCAGGGGCGATCCGGGGAGAGCTGCCCACGCCCACCGCGGATTTTGACTGCACGCCGCGCTCAACGAGAGGTCGGCATGGGGGCCTGCCTCGCTGGCGCAGCACGCGCCAGGAGGGGCGCCGCAGGGGCCGCAGGGTCGCCCCGGGGAGAGCTGCCCACTCCCACCGTGGATCTTGACCGCACCCTGCGCTCGGCGAGAGGCCTCGGCGGTGCGACCTAATGCCTTCAAAAAGTGTCCTCTCAAGCTCAGTCCATGGTCTTCGTCGCGAACATCACCGCGACCTGATGCCCTCTAATAGTGCCCATTCAAGCTCAGCCCGGGCCTTCGCCCGAACTGATCTGCTCAGGCGCCGTCCCTCAGTTTGGACGCCCGAAATGGGCACGGAAAGAATTGGCACAATGCCCATCAACGAATGTTGTTCCAAACCAACAGCGGCCGCTGTTGGGCAGGCGGCCTCCTGTCTCAAACGAACACAGGCCGCGGCGGCGCGGACAGCGAGTCCTGTTCAAAATGAAACAGGAACTGCTGTTGGGCATCGTACCCATCCTTTCCGTGCCCATTTCGTTCGTGCAGAACCGACGGCTGGCGCGGGGGCCCACCCTCCCCCTCAGAAATCGTGGGGGGCAGGGGTAGGGTTCGCATGTGGCCCCCTAGCGGGGGCCCGCCTCGCTGGCACCACGCGCGCCGGCGGGGCTCGGCCGCCGCGCGCCCGGCGCGCGGCGCCTGCGCGCCGCAGGGGGGCCGGCCGCCGCTCGGGCCGCGGCCACGGCCGCAAGGGGCCCCCTGCCGAGGGGGCCCGCCGCCGCAGGCCCGGCAGCCAAAGGGGGGCGCGCAGTACTGTTACGTGGGGCGTGTCCCCCTACAGGGGGATTTTTCTACGATATATATATATATATATATATTATAGCCGGAGTGCAGTATCCCCAAACAGGGTTTTTAGACCCACTGCGGTTTCCAAGGTCGATTGCGTGCCCGCCTAGTGCGGGCTGGCATGGCATGTTAAAACATGCCTCCTCCTCCTCCTCCTCCTCCTCCTCCTCGTCCACCTCCTCTTCATCCCGAAAGGCATCTCGGAACCCAGAGTTGCGAGGATGTCTCCAGCGTAACGGGCTGGACCACCTCGCGCGCGGCATTTCGGACCCCAGAGTTGCGACGATGTCTCGGGCGAAACGTGCTGCGAGGAAGTCTCAGGCGAAACGGGCCGGACCACCTCGAGCGCGGCGTCTCAGAGCTCCGAGTTGCGGGGGCCTCCTGGTGCCTCCTGGGGCCTCCTGGGGACCTCCTGGGGCTTCCTCCTGGGCCTCCTGTGGCCTCCTGAACTCCACCTGAGGTTTCCTGAAGCATCTTGGGGCTCCCAGGGGGGATATCTAACCTGTGGCCGTTTGGGCCTCTCCAAATACAGGAGCAGCAGGAAAAATCAACGAATCGACACCGGATGTGTATTAACTTGACACGTTCTGATAAGCGGCCTCCTGGGGCCTCCTGGGAGCCTCCTGGGAATCTCCTGCGGACCCCTGGGGCCTGTCCTGGGCGTCCTGCGGCCTCCTGAAGCTCTCTGGGACCTCCCCCTCCTCCTGCCTGCTCCCTCATGCACATCATCCGCCTCCTCCTTCTCCCTTCCATCCTCCTCCTCCTCCTCCTCCTCCTCCTCCTCCTCCTCCTCCTTCTCCTCCTCCTCCTCCTCCTCCTCCTCCTCCTCCTCCTCCTCCACCTCCTCTTCATCGCGAACGGCATTTCGGAGCCTAGAGTTGCGAGGATGTCTCCAGCGTAACGGGCTGGACCACCTCGCGCGCGGCATCTCGGACCCCAGAGTTGCGACGATGTCTCGGGCGAAACGTGCTGCGAGGAAGTCTCTCGAGGCGGAAGGACCACCTCGAGCGCGGCGTCTCAGAGCTCCGAGTTGCGGGGGCCTCCTGGTGCCTCCTGGGGCCTCCTGGGGACCTCCTGGAGCTTCCTCCTGGGCCTCCTGTGGCCTCGTGAACTCCACCTGGGGTTTCCTGAAGCCTCTTGGGGCTCCCAGGGGGGATATCTAACCTGTGGCCGTTTGGGCCTCTCCAAATGGAGGGGGGGGGGGCACAAGAGCAGGAAAAATCAACGAATCGACACCGGATGTGTATTAACTTGACACGTTCTGATAAGCGGCCTCCTGGGGCCTCCTGGGAGCCTCCTGGGAATCTCCTGGAGACCCCTGGGGCCTGTCCTGGGCGTCCTGCGGCCTCCTGGTGCCTCCTGGGCCTCCTGGGGACCTCCTGGAGCTTCCTCCTGGGCCTCCTGTGGCCTCCTGAACTCCACCTGAGGTTTCCTGAAGCATCTTGGGGCTCCCAGGGGGGATATCTAACCTGTGGCCGCTTGGGCCTCTCCAAATGGAGGGGGGGGCACAAGAGCAGGAAAAATCAACGAATCGACACCGGATGTGTATTAACTTGACACGTTCTGATAGAGGGCCTCCTGGGAGCCTCCTGGGAATCTCCTGGGGGCCCCTGGGGCCTGTCCTGGGCGTCCTGCGGCCTCCTGGACCTCTCTGGGGCCTCCTGAGGCTCGCAGGGTCCCATGGAGGATATGTAACATGTGGCCTTCTGGGCCCCCAGGCTGGACCACCTCTTGCGCAGCATCTGAGAGCTCAGAGTTGCGAGAATATCTTGTGCGAAACAGGCCGGACCACCTTGCGCACGGCATCTCAGATCTCAGAGTTGCAAGGATTTCTCAGGCGAGACGGGCCGGACCACCTCGCGCAGGGCATCTCAGAGCTCAGAAGTTCGAGGATGTCTCAGGCGAAACGGGCCGGACCACCTCGCGCGCGGCATCGGGGAGATCAGAGTTTCGAGGATGTCTCAGGCGAAACGGGCCGGACCACCTCGCGCGCGGCATCTTGGAGCTCAGAGTTGCGAGGATGTCTCAGGCGAAACGGCCCGGACCACCTCTCGCGCGGCATCTGGGAGCTCAGAGTTTCGAGGATGTCTCAAGCGAAACGGCCCGGACCACCTCTCGCGCGGCCTCTCAGAGCTCAGATTTAGGAGGATGTCTCAGGCGAAACGCTCAATCCCGGACAACTCAGAAACGAGAATTGTGAGGATGTCTCAGGCGAGACGGGCCGGACCACCACATTTGTTTGAGGATGTCTCTGCTTAGCTTTCCCTCGGCCGGAATTAGCTTCTATCACAACAGCACCCCGTTCAGCAAGCTGTTTGGGGAATAAAAAATAAAAAGAAAAAAAAAGTAGAAAAAATCCTCAAAAAATAGTCCCCAGACTATGTTTGGACTATTTGTTGGCTATTTTGGGGGTATATTTTAGGGGGACAGGCCCGACTTAGCAGTGCTGCCGCGGGTTCGTGTCGCGTCGACCCCGGCGAAGACGGTCCTTCTGAGTCCCGTCTGGGCCTCGCTGCCGCCAGCGCAGCTCGGCCCCAGAGCGTGCCCCTCCTGCGCCCCAGCCGCACCAGCTGCGCGCTGACACTGGTCGGGTTGTCGGTCCTCCTCCTCCTCCTCCTCCTCCTCCTCCTCCTCCTCCTCCTCCTCCTCCTCCTCCTCCTCCTCCTCCTCCTCCTCCATGTGCCAGGGCTCGAGCAGGAGGGAGCTCAGGCGCGAAGGAGGAGCCGCCACTGGTGACCCCCCCCCTCAAGGGCGCGGATCGAGGACTGGACAGTTTTGTGAAGTTTTGCAGGGTAGGGCGCTTTGCTGGTCTTGCTCGAAGCTTTGGGGTGCTGGGCGGTCTGTGGCTTGGGGGCTTGGGGTGCACGTTGGCACCACCAAATCAAGTGAGGCGGGCCCACGGTCTTGGTGCCGGTGGTAGTGGCTCGGGCCTGTCCGCGTGCCCCCCAAACACAATAACAGCACAACCACCACCGAAATGGGACATCGTCTTACCTGGCGGCTCGCACAAGGGGGGGGGGGGGGCGAGGGGGGTAGCCCTCTAAGAAGGCAGGGGCACGTCTTGGAAGGCCAGGTCCTTCTTGAAAGGCCCTCCCCGCTTCGAAGAAGCCTTCGTAGAAGCCTCCAGGCACTTCTAGGCAGCGCCCCTGCCTTCGTAGAAGCCACCACATTTCTCACAGAGAGACCCCCCTCGCGCGACACCCCTGTGCACGCCGCCGACTTCCATCGGAGGAAGCCCCCCATCTTGGAAGGGGCCATGATGGCCGTTGTCCAACCTCCAGGTCGAAGTCGCCCCTGGTCGCATGACTTCCCACCTGCATCTTGCCATCGCTCGCAGGTCCATTCCCCATGCATCATTTGGTTTCGTGTGTACGATTTGCTCTCAAACTGGTCCTGGATGCTCCAAGAGGGTCCAGATGTTCTGACGCTGACCTCGCCGGAGAAAACACGCACACGTCCGAGCGACGCCAAGGCAGTTGGCGGCCGCGAGGGTCGCGGACCAGTGTGGGCCCGGGTGCGGCCTGAGGAGGTAGGGGGCTACATGCGAACCCTACCCCTGCCCCCCACGATTTCTGAGGGGGAGGGTGGGGTTCACTTCGCTCGGGAGCTCCCGAACGAAGTGAACCCCAGCCTCCCCCCCAGAAATCGTCGGGGGCAGGGGCAGGGCTCGCACGTGGCCCCCCAGCGGGGGCTCACGGCCCGACGGAGAAGCCGCGCGCCTCCCGGGCGGCTCCACCGAGGGGGGGGGGCCCTCCCGGACGGCCCCCTGCGCTCCTCCTCCTCCTCCTCCTCCTCCTCCTCCTCCTCCTCCTCCTCCTCCTCCTCCTCCTCCTCCTCCTCTCCTCCTCTCTCCTCCTCCTCCTCCTCCTCCTCCTCCTCCTCCTCCTCCTCCTCTCCTCCTCCTCCTCCTCCTCCTCCTCCTCCTCCTCCTCCTCCTCCTCCTCCCGCCGCTGCGGCACGGCCCGTGCCGTGGCGAGACCTTCGGCGCCGCCCTCCGACCCCGCGCGGGACCCGCTCGGCCTCTCGAGCGATCGGCGGCCCCCCGACCGCTCGGGGGCGGTCCGCACGCTGGCCGATCGGGGCCACCGGCGGCGTTCCGCCTCGACTGCCCGCTGGCTGGGGTCGCCGCCGCGTCAACGCGACGCGAAGCCAGCGCACAGTGCGGGCGAGCAACGACATATGTACATGTACGCCCTCCGCGGTCTTGCCTGCACGAACGTCCGCGTTGACGCGCACTCCAGGGGAAGCTAACCGCATACGTGTACATATGTTGCTGGCCTCTGACAGTGGAGGCCCGTCCACAAGAGACCTTCCACAAGAAGCCCAACCCTGAGACCTCAGGACGTCCATCGGCTGCTGGTGTGGGAGCGTGGCGCCGTCCGTGGCAAAGCCATCGAAACCCAAGAAACCCGGGGCACCCGGGAGGCAAGCAGGGTGCTTCTTGGCATGGGTCTCCACTGTAGCGGCCCACGACGAACGCCAAACAAGGCACGAAGCGGCTTTCCTGAGGCCACGGCGAGCCTCGGCAACGAACCGGTCGCCGAGGGAGCCACGGCCCCCTCCTGAGCCGCCAGGAGTCCCTGCCTCAGCGCCTCGTCCGTGCTGACGCAGGGCATCTCGCCAGCAGGCGACCGAGGCACGCAGCAGACAAGCGACAAGATCTCGGTCACCAGGCGAGGAGGAGGAGGAGGAGGAGGAGGAGGAGGAGGAGGAGGAGACGAGGACGAAGGGGAGGAGCAGGACGGGCGGTGCGTCCTAATCTCGCGCTTGATCTTCTTCTTCATCACGGGCTTCAGGATCTTTATGACGCATCGGTCGCCACTGGGAGCGTGGATCCCCTGGCAGGGGGGCGGAAGGCTCCAAGCACGAGGTCGTCAAAGAAAGACGCGCAGAGCGTTGTCGCCATGCGCGGATGGAGCAAGCTCGGCAAGAACGTAACGGGGGCGCAGGCGATGGAGTGAGAGTAACACATGGGCATGCAGTAGGGACCCAGAGGGAAAGAGAAGAGGACACGGAAGAGAGAGAGTGCGTGTGCCTAGGCTGGCCAAGCCCGCTCACTGTGCGTTGCATCTGGGCTGCAAACGATGTCGTTCGTGTAGGTATTTTCAAGCGTGTCGATTACGCGATCTTTACATCGCTGCGGGCCCATATAGGTAAGATTTCACACGGCGCATCGATGCGAGCCCATCGAGGTAAAATCTTACACGGTGCTACGAGCCCAACCATCGTAGCAGTTAGGGCCGAACCAGACTGCTGTACTCAGCATTGCTTTTGGCGCGTCCAATTTTACATGGCATCACCCAGAGAACGCAAGCCTCACCCAGCCGATTTTGCCGAGTGCTGGTTGGTGCACTCTCTCGCTCATCTGGAAGGTGCCGCCAGGTTAACAGAATTTGAGCGGGTGAAAGAAAGCACCGAAACTTGAGACCACCGCGACTGCACCCAACAAAGATATGAATACATTATGTAATGTCGCTCTAGGCCGTCTCGGACTGGGGACTTCCTAGAGAGAGAAAGAAGGCAGAAGCAAGACGCAGGGAGGAAGGGGCAGGAGGGCACAGGGAGGAAAGAGGTTGGAGGAGTGAGGAGAAAGTGGGAGGACGACGGCGAAGAGGACTGGGACGAGGAGGACCCCGAGGAGCAACAAGACGAGTGTCCCAAGCGAACCGCAGCGTCCCACAGCGGCACAGGGGCACCCGGAGATCCAAGCCCGTCCCTGCCCGGGGGGGTGCCCGATCACTTCCGGAGAGCGCGCGGCAGACACGGCGAGGTCGGGAAAGGATAAGTCCAAGGGCCCTCCTCCGCCTCCTCCTACTCAAGGGGCCCAAGGACACACAAATAAATACACACAAATACAAATATTCCCCATATTTTCCTATATTTTCTGGGTTCTTGTCTTCCCCCCCACTTCCCATATTTTCCCATATTTTCCTGGGAATCGTCGATTCATTGTGTCTGTGTGTTTCTTTCCCTCCTGACCTACCCTGACCCTGCTCGCGCTCATTCTCCTCGCCCTTCTCTCCTGGCGAGCCCGCCGGGGGGCGGCCTCCCCAGCGCCGGCGGCGGCCTCGACTCCGGCCTCGCGCTCGGCCGGCAGCAGCAGCCCGAGTTTGACCACGTCGACTTCGCTGCCTTGCAGCTTGGGCTCCGGGTGTGCTCAGAGGTTGAGTACGGGCCCTCTGCAAAGGACACCGACCCCTCGCGCCAGCGCGCGAACCATAGAATGAATGACCTGCAGCACTCCCTGCGCACGTACACGGGCCACTGGATGGAGGACCCGACCGTGCATGATGACGTGACGGACGGCATGCACTGGCGCCAGCACTGTGTGCCGCACGTGGCCAGGTGCCTCGCCAACACGCACTCCGACATCCTGGTCCGCGCGAGGGCAGCTCGAGACGGACATTCCAACTTGGCCATTGCGCACGTTGGTATGGCGATCGAGATCTGCATGGCTGCCTCCAGGAGGCGCCGCAGGCCGCGCCAGAAGTACAGGGCCTGGCTGAACCACTTACGCTTAAGTCGGGCCTGTCCCCCTACAGGGGGATTTTCGACGAAAAATAAAAAATACCCCCGACATAGTCAAGAAATAGTCCAAATAGAGTCTGGGGACAATTTTTTTTGTTACCTTCTTGGGGTATTTGGGGGGTATTTTATATTTGTCGTCGAAAATCCCCCTGTAGGGAGACAGGCCCGACATAAACGTTGACATGGCGATCTAGATGATCTGCATGGCTGCCTTCAGGAGGCGCCGCAGGCCGCGCCAGAAGTACGGGGCCTGGCCGAGCCACTCGCGCGGGCGGTCCCCCCGAGGCGCGGCTCCTCGAGCTGCTCGAGCACCTCCCTGCCATGCAGCAGGAGGCGAACATCGTCGACGCGGGGGCGGGGCCTGCACAGCAGGTGCCCAGCCGACGCTGCCTCGATGCGCACGCGCGGTGCCTGTACCGAATCACAGAGCATAGCGTCAGCGGGGGGAGGCCACGAGTCACAGAGCATAGCGTCAGCGGGGCGTGTTGCGTCAGGCCACACTGGCGAGCATCGGGCTGGCGGCGCCATGTCTCGCCGCGGCGGCGATCGTCGGGATGGTTCTCGGATGCCACGTCCGACGGCTGCACGGCCGCGTGAGCATGTTGGCGATTTTGGGCTTCATCATCCCCGAGCGCTCGGCGGGCGGGAGTAGCCCAGCCCTGGCGGCAGCCTGGACGCACCAGCTGGCAGGGGCCAGCGCGCGCCCCTGGCTTCCCGCCCTCGGCGCACCAGGCACGGCCCACGGCCGCCTCCGTGGCCAGGGGGCGCCCGACCTCGACCTCGAGTCCGCAGACGTCGACGCCTCGCAGCAGGAGCTCATGATGTACTCTTCGGGTGAGCACGAGCTGCACGCGAATGGCGCCGACCCCACGCGCCAGCGCGCGAAGCGGACGATCGACGACCTCTACGACTTCCACTACGACATCGGCGACGCTCTCGGGGACGACGTCGCCGCCTCCAACCTGGACCGCGACGGTCGCGCTACCCGCCCAACAGCGTCTTCAAAGGAGGAAGGTTCGGCTGTGGGCCCTACTCCCGCGAGCGGGACCTCGCCCCCCCCCACGGTGGCCCCATCCGTTCCGTTCCCAGCAGCGGCGGGCCCAGCGAAGTGGGCACGGGTCATGCACTGGGTCTTCTAGGTCGTCGCCTGCTCGTTCGGCGGCTTCGCCACCTGGACCTCGCGTGCCTGCTGGTGGTCCTGTTCGGCCAGGTGGGCCTCGGGGACCTGCTGGACTTCGCCCTCCTGACCCTGATCGAGGGCGGCCCGCTGATCTTCGCCATGGCGCCAGGCTCCGCGCGCAGGCTGCTAGATAGGAGAAAAAGATCGGAGAAGGAGGGGGAGGAGGAGGAGGAGGAGGAGGAGGAGGAGGAGGAGGAGGAGGAGGAGGAGGACGAGGAGGAGGAGGACGAGGAGGACGAGAAGGAGGAGGACGAGAAGGAGGAGGACGAGGAGGACGAGGAGGACGACGAGGAGGAGGGATGTGGAGGAAAAGGATGAGCATTATCTTCGCCGGGTGGAGCACGTGCCTTCGGCAGCTAGAGCTGAACAACGTCGATGACTCGGCCCAGGCCATGCTCATCCAGGAGCACCGCATGTCGGAGCCCATCCAGTTGGCTACTGCCGTCCGCGCCGCCAAGACGCCTACGATGGCTCCAAGACGCCCCAAGACGCCGTCGAGACGCCCCAAGAGAGCCCAAGAGCCTTCCCAAGAGGGCCCCCAGAGGCAAAAATCAATTGTCTTCCTCAGGTTGTTCAGTGTTTCCAGGGTCATCGTCTTCTCGAACTTCCGACGCTCCAAGACGGCCCAAGAGGCCCCGTAGACCGCCCAAGAACTACCCAAGAGGCCCCTACGAGGGCCCCAGGACGGCCCCAGAGGGTTCCAAGACGGCAACGCTCGCCCCAAGAAGGCCCCAAGAGAGGCCAAGAGGGAGAACACGAACCGAAAATCTTCTCTTTCCGCCCCAAGAGGCCCCCCAAAGGCCCCAAGAAGCCCCCAAGCGGCCCAAAAAAGGCCCCCAATAATAAGCCCCAAGAGGCCCAAAAGAAGCCCCGGAACGGCCACCAAGACGTTTCAAAACTGCCTCCAAGAGGCTCCACCAGGCCCCCAGACAGCTCCCAAAGACGCCCACTAGTGCCCCCAGATGGTGCCCACGAAGCCCACGACGCCTTAACCGTGGAGTCCCCGCCTTTCTGGGGGTCGGCGGAATGGCGTGAGCGTCTCGAATAATGTCAAGAAGGGGTGAGGTTTGAAGACGAGAAGGGTGTGACCACTGCTGCAGACAGTCGTAAGGGCCTAGCTAAGACCAGGATGGTGAGTCGTTAGCCTCCAGACTCCGTTGGATACTGCATTTGGAAAGCATGCGTGAAGTGCGAGAGACATGTAAAAAGAGGGGAAGGGGGAAGAAAGAGGAGGAGGAGAAGCAAGATGAGAAGGAAGGGAAGAAGAGGTGGGCGCGGAAGGGGGCACTGAAAAGAAGGGAGTCAGGGGGTCATACCCCGAACTTCAATGCGGAAATGCCTCGAAGACCTCGCTGTACTTCCCACGGCCGACTTTTCGGATTACCTCATAGTCGTCCTGGTGACCCCAGTTGACCTCGCCGCACAGGTGGCATAACTCTATCGGACAGAGCAAGAGGAGAGGAGGCTACTTCTCGTATTACAGCCCGCCGCCCTCCATCCTGCTGCTGCGCTGGGGCGTGTGCTACACCAAAAACAGAGATGCCGCTGCGTGAAGTAAAAATGGTAAGGATCAGGCGCTGGGCCCTCTGGGAGGCACCATCCAAGCATGCATGACTCTTTCATGGAGCGCGGCGAAACGTTGATGACCACGCAGCACTCCCAAGATTCCAAGACACGGGCAGGAGGGACCGAAAAGGGAGAAAAAGGAGACGGATGACAAAATGGCCTTTGAAGCGGTCATTACTGGGGGGGGGTCGGACATTGCAAGAGAAGGCTGCCAGACAAGCGGGGCTGGTCACGAGCCAATATTACAGACTGAACGTCTGCGAACATGCATGAACGCATGTGACTCGAAGCGGGCCAGGCTGGAGGAATGAGATTCGCTCCGTGCGCGTTCACCCTCGTGCCATGCTAATGAAAAAAATCTGCGCAGGGTCGGGTGGGCAGTCTCTCCACTCTGCGTGCACACTCCATCCCTTCCTGTCGCTGGTTCACGTTGCCACCGCGGGGGGAGATCGGTCAGGCCTCCACTCCAGATGCGCCTGGATGTATCGGGAAGCACGGAGACCAAAAGACAACAACACCGACCCCTGGTTTCCAGGGGTGAAAAGAAACCTGAGAGTCGTGTGGTTGTCCCACTTTCCCACTTGTGAACGTTTTCTTCTTCGGCGTTTCGACATTGGGCGGAAGGGGTGGAGGAAGGGGTCTGGCTCCGGACCTCTGCTCAATGGGTCTGTTTGCAACAGCGAGCCTTTGGGGGGAAACTCCACCTGCTTGAAACAGGCGCCAAACGCAGCCAGGATCTGCTCCATGGGGGGGGAGGGGAGGGGGTGGGGGGGCGAGGGCCCGCGCCGATCGGCAAACCAATGAATACGAAGACGATCCCCTTCCTGTTCGTGGGGGGAGCGGAACCCCCCACGAGCTCTCGCCGAGGGCCCCTCTGGCCCCCGAGGGCTCCCAGGAGTGCCTCCGGGGACCACCGTCGCCCAGTGACTGGCCCTGAAGGCCCGTCCTAAAGGGGCCAGGCCAAGACCAAGACCGCTGAAAACTCCTAGCTTGCGGCACGATGTCCGCGAGCGCGCTTGGCTGGCACACTCATGTTTTATAAGAGCGAAACCCAGACGGCCAAAGAGGCCCCCAAGACTTATGTCGGGCGTGTCCCCCCCTACAGGTGGATTTTCGACCAAAAATAAGAAATACCCAAAAAATACCCCAAGAAGGTCAAAAAATAGTCCAAAAATAGTCCCCAGACTATTTGGGGACTTTTTTGTTGGCTATTATTTTGGGGGTATTCTTTATGTTTCGCCGAAAACCCCCCTGTAGGGGGACAGGCCCGACTTGGCCCAGGACCCGCCCGAGAAGGGGCCCGAGAATGGCCCCCGATGGGAGGCCCCCACGAGAGGCCCCAGTAGGAGAAGCTCGAAAAGGGGGGCCCAGAGGCCCTCCGCGGCGACGGCGCACCCGAGGACCGCCCGGCAGGCCCCGAAGAGGCGCCCAAGGGCGCGGCGGCCCTGGCCCGCCTCCACCCGACCAGATGTACGTCGGGCCTGTCCCCCATACAGGAGGATTGCCGACGAATAATGAAAAATACCCCAAAATAATCAAAAGATTGTCCAAAAATAGTCTGGGGACTATTTTGGGAGTATGTTTTGACCTTCTTTGGGTATGTTGGGTGTTTTTATTTTTCGTCGTAAATCCCCCTGCAGGGGGATCGTCGACGAAGAATAGAAGATACCCCAAAAATAATCAAAATATAATCCAAAGATAGTCTGGGGACTATATTTGGGAGTATTGTTTGCCCTTCTTGGGGCATTTTTGAAGTATTTTTCAATGTTTCGTCGAAGATCCCCCTGCAGGGGGACACGCCCGACAGAAGACCAGATCCGCGGCCTCTGCGAGGCCCCTGCAGGAACCTGCTCGACGGTTTCCCCCCCGCGGCTCCCAGTTCGGGCTGAGCAGTTTCTCAGGGTGGTAGCGCCAAGGCCTCTCCGCGCTCGCGTTGCGCCGCGCGCCACTCGGAGCAGCTTCTTGCACGGTGGAGCTTGCGTGCGCGAGTTGCTCGACCTCAAGTTGCAAGGACATGGTGAAGGGACCGAGCTCGGGAATGATATGATTAGGCGTTTCCCTGGGCAGGGGCGGGCACTTTTGCTGCGCTTGCGTCTTCCATGCGCGCTCCAACAAAACCCCAGGGGAGGGCTCAGGGTGAAATCCAGCTGGGCTTTTGCACCTGGAAACCCAATCCGTCCTGTGACTCACGCTGTGCAGATTCAAGCCTCGAGCGTCCATCGAAGCGGCACTTCGGATTTTTCACCCTTGGCCCTCCACCCAGAGAACATGCTTGGGCGGGGACAGGGTGAAGCCAGCTGGCCGATCCCGGAGATTGGGGCAATGTCATGACCTGGATTCGTTTCTTCGAGAGACTGCTGGAGATATTTTTAAAAAAAAATCATTGAAGACAGCAAGTCTTTGTTGCACCCCCAGGCTGCATCGGCCCGCAGGCGGCATCCGCTCGACCGGATCCACGGCCCCAGGCTGGAGCGGCCCGCGGGCGGGAGGCAGTGCCGCCGGGAGCGGAGCGGTGGGAGCGCCAGGGCCCCCTATAGGGTAGCCCTACAGGTGTGGATGGACGGGGTAAAAATATACTTACAGTCGGAGCGTTGACCCAAGGAACCCGAAATAAGGAACGAGGCCCCTTTCACCCACAAGTTGAACTTCGATTTCCCGTCGAAAACCAAAGGAAAACCCAAGGCAAACTGTAAAACAATCAAGGAACACCGAGCCCCTCCCCAACGAAAAGGGTTCCTTCTCCAGCGCCCCGACTGTACACTTCCAGCGTTGGCAACTTGAGCCGAAAAAGGCGCCAGAGGTGTGCCTCCCTCAAGACTCTCCCGCGAGCGTGGTCGATGCTCGGACGTAAGGCGGGCGCCAAGAACTTTTCAAAAACCTGACGCCCTCGTTTGGCCAATCAGCCGCGGCCAGAGAACCCGGAGAGAGCTCATCCCGCCCGCCCACCCACCCGCACGTGCGCGCTAAATATACATATCGCAGAAGTTGCTGGGCCGAAGAAGATTCCACGAGGCCCCCAAGAAGCCCCAACGAGGCCTCCAAGAGGCCCCCGAGAGGCTTTCCAAGAGAGCCCACGAGACACCCAAGAGGCCTCTTGCCAACACACAGGCAAGGTGGCGGGAGGGACCGACGGCCCCTGAGTATTGGCTCGCCCCGCACCTGTCAGGAGACGAGGACCCACGCTAAAATCAGTCACTGAAGCTCCTACCTGACGATGGCGACCACAAAGGACGTCTTTCCTCTTCTGGAGGTCGGCGAAATGGTGAATCCAACCGGCCCTCTGGGCAGAGGTGGGTCTAAGGCACGTCCTCTTCCAACCCCCGTCTTCCATTCGGGGAAGGGCTTGCATCTGCTCCTTCTCAATAAACGCACCCTCTCCCACCCGACCATCGACAACCTAGGAGCGGTGCCAACCCCCAGACCATCCTTGATATGTGGCTAAATCTGGATCATGATCGGGCGCCCCGCGAACAGCTTACATTGCTTGTTTTGGGGGCAGGGATGACGGGTGGGGGGCATCGTATTGCCCCGCGTGCCTAGGCCCACCATCCCCGTCAACTCACAATACAAAGTGCACGTTGCGGCAATACCTTCGACCATGCGCGAGCGCCCCCGATCATTTTGCATGGACATTTGGCGGGGCTGATGGGGCCTGGCACGCGCGGCACACCTCGTGGGAGCCGCACGCCCGGCTGGCGTCTGCAGTGGTGCCCGATGGTTGCCGATGGCGGCCCCTGGCTATGCTGAGACTCGGGTGCTCCGTTTGTGGTGGAAGGCGGGTGGGAGTGAGTGAGACGACAGTCATGCAGGTGGGGCAGCTTGACCCTACCCCCTGCCCCTGATCTGAACGGGGGGCGGGTCCAAGGCGTCAGAGCGCCCAAGATGGCCCAAGGTGCCTCCAAGAGGATGGCACGGGATACTCGACGACGATTGCTCCAGCTGGCCTCCAACGTGCTTCCGGGAGGTTCGAAGGAACCCCCCCTCTTAGTGACCACGGGGACTGCCAGGGATGCCCCCAAGAGACCAAAAAGCCGCCCAAAACCTTGGCGCGCCTGCCAAAACTGCGTGTGAGCTCTCGCCGTTGCGCTTCCGGTGAGCCTCTGAGGCCTCCGCATGGCTCCAAGGTGACCCAGCGGAGCCCAAGGGCCCCCCCCCAGGTAGCTCAAGATGGCCTCCCAGATAGCGCGAAATGGCACAGGATTGCTCAGGATGGCCTCCCAAGTTCCCCGATGCCTCCAGGAGGCCCCAAGACCGCCACAAGACGGCCCCAAGTGCCAACGGAACCTCCCGAGGTCGCCCCCAAGGGGCACAAGTGCGCGCGATGCCCAAGAAAACGAAGTCATTCTCGACGCGTGGCGTCCGGCGGGCCCCAGGGGCTTCGAGATGGCTCCATATGGCCCAAGAAAGCTCCAAGAGGGCCCCAAGAGCGCGCCAGAGCACCCCTCCCCCCAAAGAAAGCCCCAAGAGGGCCCCAAGAGTTCGGCTCCCAGAGGGCTAGGCTACTAGGGGACCCCATTATGTTTGACCGACGGCCTCGAAGATGACCCTAAGAGGGCCCCCAAGAGGGCCCCGAAGGCCCGAAGAGGGCCACGAGATGACAACAAACGCCTCCGATGTTGCCCCAAGAGGACCCCAAGATGACCAAGTCAAGCTGTAAGTAGGCGCCCATGCCGAGAGGTCCTCAAACGTGATGCTTGACTCATGGGCATGCTCAGGCTAATGCCGAGCTTAGGTTTGACAGCTGCCCCCCCCCAATTGCCTCACGGCTTGTCCCCACACTTCCCCGATCAAGGCAACTCACCTAGGATTCGTTTCTGGTGGGGCTGGTGGGGATACTTTTTTAATCGCGAGCGTGGCGGAAGTGCCGAACGCCGTCAGGAAGTCGTAACACACGAGCTACGGCCTAAATTGCGCAAGCGGGAGAGTGAAAGAGAGAGACAACGAGAGAAAACGAGAGAACAGCGGGGAGGGTGGTGGGGATACGCAAAGCGCCAAGATATCCGAACGCCCATGAAGAAAGGGAGGAGCTCCTAGATTGGGCAACCCCGGGGAAGGAGGCGAGCCTGACGAGCGCGCGCGGAGCGGGCAGACCTACCTAGCGAGGGAGGGAACGAGACGAACGGGCAGGCTAGAAGCCCAGGCCGTCATCGTTGTCCTTGTCGGCGTCGTCGCCGATGTCGCACCCAGAGAGACAAAGATTTATGCACATATATGTATAGAGAGAGATTACTATATCTTCTAAAAACATAAGGAGAAGAGAGAGAGAGAGAGAGGGAGAGAGACAAAGACACAAAGTGAGAGAGGCAAAGAACTAGAAAGAGACAGAGAGAGAGAGACACACACACACGCGGACAGACAGGCAGCCAGATACACGGACAGGCAGACAAACTGACACACAGACAGATAGAGAGAGAACACACAGAAAAAAAAAAACAAAAAACAATAACAATCAATGAAGAATACGCACATGCCTACAAGCAGAGGACAGAAGCGGAAAAGGGTCACACCGAGTGGATCTCGTAGTCGTAATACTCACGCGGCCTGTTTACCTTGGTACGACACCGACCATCCTCCCCTCCTTCCTGCCGAAGAATCCTGGCTGCACTTGCTCTTGGGACCTCCTCCGTCCTCGGACCCCCGACGTCACTATTCCCCACGTGGTACCTCAGAGGTTTCGAGCACTCCACGGTGATCGCTGCTTCGCCACGAAACGGTGCTGCCCGTCCTGGGCCCGGGTAAGGGCCCCTGGGGGCTGAGAACAAGCAAAGACCTTCTGGCGCGACCTTTTCACGACGCGAGGGGCCTGGAGACCTCCCTTCCCACACTCTGCAGCACTACCTCTCTCTCTCTCTCTCTCTCGCTCCACCCCATCCTCCTTATCCCCCTCCCTCCCCTCCTCCTCCCTGCCCCACTCCTACCCCCTCCATATCCCCCCGCCCCATCCCCCCTCTCTCCCACTCCCCTCCTCTCCCTCTCTCCATCTGCATCTGCCTCTCCCTCGCTATCCCTCCCCCCCACCCTCCTCCATGTCCCTATCTTCGTGCGGCTCCCGGAACCGGCGCGGCCCCCAAGACGCAATCCACTCCTCCTCAGTGTTGTTGTGCCATCAACGGCGCCCTTATGCCACATCCTGCGTTCGCAGGATACAGTAGCTGCTACGCAGGACCACAGCAGCGCAGGCGACAACTCTGTGGGCTAGACTGAAAAACACGACTGAATCAACATCGGATCACGCTGAAGCGCACTGGGAGCTGCCGCACAAGGACGCCGTGCGCACACGGCCCAGATGTGGCGACGACGAGGAAGCTTAGGCCTGGAAACTTCCTTGAGAAAGAAGTTGCAACCTGCGCCCTCAGTGCCAGGGTGATTAAGAGGGAAGCGAGGCTCTAGCGTGCACCAGCGGCTTAGTCATCAACCCCGAGCGGGGAGACCCGCGCAGTGGCGGCCAGAAGCCGCTGCACTTCAGCGTTGGCTTCGGCTTCAGCCGTGGGTGCACTGCGAAGTTCCCTCGGGCCAGCTCAACCGAGTCGGTAATCCGCTCGCATGGGTGCCTCCGTCTCCATATGTTCCTCGTCCTCCTCCTCCGCCTCCTCCTCCTCTTTTTGCTTCTCCTGCGCCTCCTCCCCGTATTGCAATAAGCATTATCAGTGTTAGTACGACGCGTATCATTACTACTCGAATTCATATTACCAGTACCCGTATGACTCGTAGTATGATTACTAGCATTAGTAGTAGTAGTAGTAGTAGTAGTAGTAGTAGTAGTAGTAGTAGTAGTAGTAGTAGTAGTAGTAGTAGTAGTAGTAGTAGTAGTAGTAGTGGTAGTAGTAGTAGTAGTAGTAGTAGTAGTAGTAGTAGTAGTAGTAGTAGTAGTAGTAGTAGTAGTAGTAGTAGTAGTAGTAGTAGTAGTAGTAGTAGTAGTAGTAGTAGTAGTAGTAGTAGTAGTAGTAGTAGTAGTAGTAGTAGTAGTAGTAGTAGTAGTAGTAGTAGTAGTAGTAGTAGTAGTAGTAGTAGTAGTAGTAGCAGTAGTAGTAGTAGTAGTAGTAGTAGTAGTAGTAGTAGTAGGAGGAGTAGTAGTAGTAGTAGGAGTAGTAGTAGTAGTAGTAGTGGTGGTGGTAATGGTAGTGGTACTAATAGTATTCGCATTCCTCGTCAGATGATTCGTAGTATTAGTCGTGTGTTGGTTGCGTTTCTACTTTAGGATTAATATTAGCAGTCGTCTTAGATGTATCAGTGTGTTATAATTAATGTTACGGCGATGCGAATTGTTCGTCTTAGTTTGTTGAGTATGACTGTTGTTCGTCGTGTTCGTCTTATTGCTATGCTTCTGCGCGCTTATTATTACTGTTGATACGTTTAATATACTAATAATTATAAAATATTAATGTGTGTCCTCTTCCTCGTCCTCATCATCCTCCTCTTCCTCCTCATTCTCTCCCTCCTCCTCCCCTCCTCCTTCCTCCTCCTGCTCCTCTTCATTCTGCTCCTCCTCCTCCTCCGCCTCCGCCTCCGTCTCCACCTCTGCCTCCTCCTCCTCCTCCCTCTCCTCTGCTTCTTATTCTTATTATTATCAGTATTATGAGTCGTAGTGGTTTTGTTATTGGTATGTTTCTTCATGCACGCTTTCTTATTACTATTATTCCTCTTCTTATTATTAGTGACGAGTTTCTTATTATCATTACTCGTGATATTATTAGCATTATGATGTATTCGCAGTGTTAGTAGCATTAGTGCTCTTATTCGTATTAGTAGTAATCGTACTGTCAGTATCAGTGTCATTATTCTTCGTATTAGTATTACTAGTATTACTCCTCTTCTGATTGGACTGAATAGTGTTCGTCTTCGTGTTCGTAGTATCATTACTCTTCTTATTAGGTATCAGTATCACTCTCATTACGATTAGTCTTCGTGTTGGTATGAATCGTCTCCGTAGTCCTACCATTACGAATAGTGTCATTCATTCGTTTATTATGATTACGACTTATTTCATCAGTTGTACCATTACTATTCTGATTAGTCGTCGTCCTCTTATGATTAGTAGTATGTGTATTCCTACTCCTCCTCGTCTTCTTTTTAAAACAAATACTACTCTATTAATGTTGCTGTTAGTCTGCTTCTTAATATTATGAAATGCCGTCTTCTTATTATGTTTCGCATTCTTAAGATTACTCCTCTTAGTCTTATTAATACTAGTGGTATGCTTCTTATTATTTTAATGTTCCTCTTCCTCCTCCTCTCCCTTCCCCTTCCCCTTCCCCTTCCCCTTCTCCTCCTCCTTCTCCCTCCCTCCCTCCCTCGCGCCCGCCCGCCACCCCACCCGCCCGCCCGCCCTCCCGGCCTCCTGCCCTCCCGCCCTCCCGCCCTCCCGCCTTCTCTCCCTCCCTCCCCACCCCCTCACTCCCTCCCTCCCTCCATCCGTCCATCCATCCCGCCTCCTCCCTCCCTCCCTCCATCCATCCCTCCTCCTCCTCCTCCCGTCCTCTCCTCCTCCTCTTCATCCTCCTCCTCTCCTCCTCTCCTTCCTCCTCCTCCTCCTCCTCCTCCTCCTCCTCCTCCTCCTCTTCGGGCAGGCTCGCTAGACGGTCCCGGCCAGAGCGTCGCGGTAGAAGCGCGGCAAGCTCTCTGGCCCCCTCCCGGCGCCCGCCGGCATGGCCGCTGCGAGGGCGTGGCCGGACCGGATGGCCGGGCCGGGCCTGAGCCAGAGAGGAAGATTCATGAGAAGAACCCTGAAATCTGGGCGTCGCACGAACAATCGCGACGGCTGGTACTTGTTTTTTCTGGCCAGTGGAGCCGCTTCCCAGCTCCAGAGACCATCAAAAACGACTCGGAATGAAAACTGGCCCCATGGAAATAGTCGAGAGCCCTATGGCCTACGTCAAGGGAACAAAATGCAGCGTCGGAGGAGAGGAGGAGGAGGAGGAGGAGGAGGAGGAGGAGGAGGAGGAGGAGGAGGAGGAGGAGGAGGAGGAGGAAGAGGACGAGGAGCAGGAGCAGGAACAGGAGCAGGAGCAGGAGCAGGAGGAAGAGGAGCAGGAGAAAGAGGAGGAGGAGGAGGAGCAGGAGGACGAGGACGAGGAGGACGGAGAGGACCAGCGCACTCAGGATGCACCAACAATGCTACCATGCCCCCTCCCGTCCCAAAACCCCTCCTCAAAAACCCCTGCAGGTACTCCTGTCCACCGCGGAAGCGCCCCCCTTGGGTGACGAGCGCCCAGGGGCCGGCCACTCGGGCGAGACCCCGTTGTGTCAAGGATCCGCCTTCATTCTCGAGCGAACAAAAAACTACAGCATATCAATGAAACACATGCATATATACACATATGTATACAAACATTTCTACATGCATACATACATACATACATACATACATACATGCATGCATGCATGCATGCATGCATACATACATACATACATACATATATACATATATACATACAATCGTACAAGCATACATATATATATATGCATACATACATACATACATACATACATGCATGCATGCATGCATGCATGCATGCATACATACATACATACATACATACATATACATATCTACATATATATACAATCATACAAGCATACATATATATACATGCATACATACATACATACATGCATGCATGCATGCATGCATGCATACATACATACATACATATATACATATGTACATATATACATACAATCATACAAGCATACATATATATAAATATACATGCATGCATGCATGCATACATACATACATACATATATATATATACATATATACATATATACATACAATCATACAAGCATACATATATATATATATATATACATGCATACATACATACATACATGCATGAATGCATGCATGCATGCATGCATGCATACATACATACATACATATACATATATACATACAATCATACGAGCATACATATATACATATATATACATGCATACATACATACATACCTGCATGCATGCATGCATGAATGCATACATACATACATACATACATATATACATATATACACATATACATACAATCATACAAGCATACATATAAATATATACATGCATACATACATACATACATGCATGCATGCTTGCATGCATGCATGCATGCATGCATGCATACATACATACATACATACATAAATACATATATACATATATATATACAACCATACAAGCATACATATATATATACATGCATACATACATACATACATGCATGCATGCATGCATGCATGCATGCATACATACATACATACATACATGTATACATATATACATACAGTCATACAAGCATACATATATATATACATGCATACATGCATACATACATACATATATGCATATAGACATATATACATACAGTCATACAAGCATACATATATATACATGCATACATACATACATACATGCATGCATGCATGCATGCATACATACATACCTACCTACCTACATACATACATACATATATATATACATATATACATATATACATACAATCATACAAGCATACATATAAATATATACATGCATACATACATACATACATGCATGCATGCATGCATCCATGCATACATACATACATACATACATATATACATATATACACACAATCATACAAGCATACATATATATATATATATACATGCATACATGCATACATACATACATACATGCATGCATGCATGCATGCATGCATACATACCTAAATACATACATACATACATACATACATACATACATACATATATACATACATATATACATATATACATATATACATACAATCATACAAGCATACATATATATATATATACATGCATACATACATACATACATACATACATACATGCATGCATGCATGCATGCATGCATGCATACATACATACATACATGCATGCATACATGCATGCATGCATGCATACATACATACATACATACATATATACATACAATCATACAAGCATACATATATATACATGCATATATACATACATACATACATGCATGCATGCATGCATGCATGCATACATACATACATGCATACACTACATTACATTACATTTCATTACATTACATTGCATTACATTACATGGCACTACACTACAGATACATTACATTACATTACATTACATTACATACATACATGCATACATACATACATACATGCATGCATGCATGCCTGCATGCGTACATACATGCATACTTACAAAGAGACAGACAGACAGACAGGCAGACATATAGACAGAAAGCCATAGGTACGTACATACGTACATGCATACAAACAAACAAACATGCATGCATGTCTGCATACATACGAAAATACATATACGCGTACATATACATATACATATACATAGAAAACATACATACATTCATAAATACATGCATGCGTGCATGCATGCATACATCATGCATACATACATACATACATCCGTACATACATGAATGCAGATGTATGCGTATACATGCATACACAAAGCCATACATGCATGCATGCATGCATACATACATACATATATATATAGTTATATATGTATATATATACATACATACATACATACATACATACATGCAAGCATGCATGCATGCATATATACATACATAAATGTCTGCGTACAATACTTGCATGCATATGTACATACAAACATACATCAAAAAAAGATCTGCCCTCGATCCGTGCAAGCGCTGCACAAGTTCAAAACTTTGATCATTGAAGTGCGCGGCAGTCTCCGGCGAGAGCACCATGAAAAGAAGGGCCGCCCTCAATCATTGCAACTTTTGAACGATTTGGGTCATATACACATATCTACACAGTAGGGGCCCGACCACAAGAAACCTTCCACAAGAAACACAAGAAACCTTCCACAAGCATGCCTGGAGGCAAGCAGGGTGTTTCTTGTCGTGGGTCTCCAATGCGTATGTATCATGCGGGAGCCGAATGTGGAAAACATGCTGGGCTCCATCCTTTCACTGGAAACTGAGCCAAAAAACAACATGTTGCCTCCCTCCCATCCGTGCAGCTATTGGAACTGATCAGGCCTCAGAACGATAGATTGCAAGGAAATATCAAGCGAAACGCCCAGCCTTCGGACACGTCCGAAGGTGCGACAGGCAGGAGAGACTCGTAGAGAAAAAGAGTGGAGGAGGAAGAAGAGAACAAGCAGGCTCGGAAGCACTGTTTACACGCCCTGTCGGCCCAAGCGCAAGAGGGACCGCCAGCCAGCGTTCGGCGGCGAGCGAGGGGGGGAAGTGAGAAGGGGCCGGCCTTCTCAGAAGGCTCGGAAGTCCCCAGGCCTTCTGAGAAATTTTCTAAGCCTTCGCCGAATACAGTAAAAACTTCTCAGAAGGCGCGAGGGCTTCTGAGAAGTCTCGCCGCCTTCTGAGACGCCCTTCTCCTTCGCACTTCCCCCCCTCGCTCGCCGCCGAAGCGTGGCTCGTGCTGCGCGCCTTCGGGTGGGCACGGGGCTGCCAAATCCACGCGCGCAAGCCAAGGCCGGCCGGGTGGGGAGGCAGGCGCCCCGTGGGCCCGCGCCACGGCTCACTCGGGCGAAGGGCCTCCTCCAGTAGCCTCTGGTAGGCCTCCAGTAGGGGGCCACATGCGAACCCTACCCCTACCCCCCACGATTTTTGAGGGGGAGGGTGGGGCTCCCTTCGCTCGGGCGTTCCCGAACGAAGTGAACCCCGCCCTCCTCAGAAAGCGTGGGGGGTAAGGGTAGGGTTCGCAGGTGGCCCCCGATCCAGAGGTCCTGGCGGGCCACGGGGGTCCCCCTCCGGAGGCCTCCTGACACGGGCCCTTCTCGGCGAGGTCGCGCTGGAGCCTCTCCCGCTCGTCGGCACATCCAGTGGCCGTCTCCGCTCCCGAGGGGGCATCAGTCGGGGAGACGTAAGACTTGGGTAAGGGGGACTCGGGTTGGCCTGACGGGGCCATCAAAAAAATGACGAGAAAATTTGACGCGAGCTCCCGCTGCAAACATCCCACGCAAACTGGACCGTCAACATCCAGGACGCACTCGTCAAAAAACGACGGCAGACCCGAGTTCCGGCTTACTAGGGTCTTACGTTTCCCCGAATCAGGGTAAGAAACGTTCCTGGAGAAGGGGCCGAGAGTTTCGGGGGCGCGCCGCCTCGGAAAAAAACGAGTCGTAAGGGTTGGGCGCACGCTAGCATTGAATACGGATCCGTGGATCTGGCGCGTGGGCGACAAATCCACGGATCGTGGAAGGTACTTTCGAAACATGAGTCCGGGGCCGCTTGAGCGCGCCGATCCGGCATGGAAACGGAACCCATCCGGGGTGAGCACCCACCACACTGTGCCCCCATTGACGAGCTTCTCCCCCGCACAGCCAAGCATTGCCTTCTCGGAGGAGGGTTCTAGGAGGATCCTCTTGTGCCACGGCGGGTCCCAGGCTGGCAGCGAGTCGGACTGGCAATAAGCACTATCTTCCGGCCTGCCTCGAGGACGATCGCCATCGAGCTAAGCCTTAAGAACCTCATCTCCATTCACGACTCCGCAGCGGCAGCGGGCGCACGTGAAGAAGCCCCTGCACACGAAGACTCCAGAGACACCCGTCAGCACTCCCGCCGCGAAAAAGGTCCAAGTAACCATCCGTAATGAATCGACGCCCGTCACACAGAATTACGCCGCCGTGCGGAGGGCCTCGCGGCAATTGAGTAGCGAGTGTGCCCCCCGAGAAATCAAGC